GGGTGAAGGGAATGTGGGGTAGAAGGGGAGAACCAATTACAAGAATCTAAGTATAGCCTCCTCCCTGGGGGATGGACAGCAGAGAAGAGGGTGGAGGGAGACGTCGGACAGTGTAACTTATGACAAAACTATAATTTATGAATGGTAAAGAGTTTATGAGGGAGGGGGGAGTAAGGAGGGAGGGGGAAAATGAGCAAATGATACTGAGGGCTAACGTAGAGAGCAAATGTTTTGAGATTGATGAGGGCAACAGGTGTACATAGGTGCTTGACTCAATGGATGTATGTACGGACTGTGATAAGAATTGTACGAGCCCTCAATAAAATAATTTAAATTCAAAAAAACTTAGGCATCAAGCTCCTTGAGGAAGTAAATTGGTAGGCCTTAGAGTGATCAGGGCCATTGTCTTGGGGCACCTCAAGGTCAATTGTCATACACAGTTCACAAAGACAATGTTTACACCCTTGGGTGAGTAGTGACTGGGGTCTTAAGAGCTCATGAGCAGCCATCTAACATGCAACTACCCTGTTTCCCTGAAAATAAGACTGTCATATTAATTTTTGCTCCCAAAGACGCGCTAGGTCTTATTTTCAGGGAATAACTTATTTTTCCATGAAGAAGAATACAGTACCCATTTATTGTTTTATTAAAAGAGACCGAGCACTTCCTGTCTGCTCTGGCTGGGCTGCGGCCAACAGTGAGCTGCACGGCGGGGCCCACCGCTACGGTTCAGAGTTACGGTAGCTTCGGGGGTCCTTATTTTCGGGGACATGTTACTTTTGGGGGATGTCTTATATTTCAGCGAGAGGCAAAACGGTAAGTAGGTCTTTCTTATTTTCGGGGGATGTCTTACTTTCGGGGAAACACGATATTGGTCTCTCCCTAACTGGGGGAAAGAAGAGTGATGAAGGTTGAAAGGTACATGAACCAATTAGGCCAACAAACTAATGGAACTCATAGACATTGTTCTCCATCCACAACTCAGACCAGAAGAACTAGATGGTGCCCAGCTACCATTACCAATTACTCTGAAAAGGACCAGTTCAGAAGGTCCCTGGATAGAGTGGGCAAAAATGTGGAACAGAACTCAAAATCATAAAAGAGACCAGGCAATGATCAGCTAGAGACCAGTGGGACCACTCAGATGATGGATGCCCTTTCATGTCTGGAATTGAACTCACCTTGTTAAATAATCAACCATTTAAGATCAAAGGGACAGCATTTACCTAAGGGCAAATTCAGAGGGTTGAAAATGGGAGAAATGGGACACGTGATGGTACATCGAGGGGACTGCAACTGATGAGTTGGATCTGTATACGCCATGTTGACCTTAGAGCAGATGATCTGTTCTGTTAAACTTCACTGAACGCACACACACGAGTTTAAAATAAGTAGATAAATATAGTGGTGTAGTGGGTCACAGGGCTATGTGGGTCACATAGGCAGGTGGCATGACAGTGTACAGCTAATTTGGTCCTTTGATGATTACCAGGCACATGTATTCAAGAAAGTGAAGCTGCCTTCCAACCACCCTTGTTAAAGAGAGAACTAATTAAACTCATGCCCCAATGCCTGGTATCACACTAAACTCATGCCCCAATGCCTGGTATCACACATCAATCCCGCTGGGGCTAAAATATAAAACATTTAACTGCTTGGACTTCTTTGATAGTATGGAATTAAGTCCAAGTAAGACAGCACTGGTTTGTCCTGAGGGCGTTTCTGGTGGGGCTCTAATTTTCACTCTGGAACGTTGTGCATCTGGTGATGGTACAGAGAGCCCTTTGTTCCTGGCAGGGGCACGACTGCACCATTGTAACTGAACACACTGTGGCATTTTGGCTAAGAATGATGTCTACTCTAAACTTGAGATTACCTAAAGGACATTCTAGGATTCAGAACAGAATCTAAGCTTTGTGAGCCAGAGCTGAAATGTAAATGTTAAGTTCCACATCACACATTGAGTTACATGAATATCCAATGTATCCAGCTTTATCAAATTTGTATCATTGTTTTTTTAGGGGCTCATACAACTCTTATTGCAATCCATACATACATCAATTGTGTAAAGCACGTTCGTACATTGCCCTCATCATTCTCAAAACATTTCCTCTCCACCTAAGCCCCTGGCATCAGCTCATTCCCCCCCTCCCCCAGCTTTACCAAATTTAAGGAATTATTTCCTCTTTTGCCAAAATAGCTTTAATTAGCTACTTGATATTTTGTTTAAATTTCATCTTAGTGCTCTGGTGGTGTAGTGGGTTATACACTGGACTGCTAACTAAATTTCATCTAAGTTTTTTTCAAATTACATCCCCTAAGAGGAAGCTAAATGTTTTTGTTAAGAAAGTTGGTTTTTTGAACAGAAGTAATATACTAGTGGCAAAACTGACCTCAGGTTTAATACTGCGTTAACCACTGTCAAGTCTTCCTTAGAGCAGAGCAGAGTTAGATGAGGATAGTAATTTTTGATGATGGATTAGGCTTTTACATTTTGCAGCTAGTAAGTCACACCACTACTTTCCTAGCGAGCACAATTTCAGAGTCAAGTTGAGGACTTGTTTTAATGGAACAATTCTATGGTGTTTGAGTAAAGCACTATTGGAATTACCAAAGAAGATAAAAACGTAAGACCAGAACCAAAGACAAAATCCAACGCCACCCAGTAGACTCCAACAGAGAGCTATATGAGGGTTTTCAAAACTGCCTATAGGAACAGACAGCCTCTTCTTCCTCCTACAGAATGACTGCTGAGTTTGAACCACCGACCACCTTGAAATTAACAGCCTAATGCCTAACTTGCAGTGTTAGCCAGGGTTCCTGAAATATACAAGAGGAATAACAAGTGTAATCAGGTACACCCTATAAACTGTACAATATACACTGAATATGGAATAGTCAACAAGATCAAAGAGATGTATGGTCATAAACAATGAATTATAAGCAATTATCTTCTAGAATGTGTTCTCTGACGCTAATAAGATTATAGATTATTGTTTTAATTCACAAAATAGGTGAAAATTAAGTAACATGTCTAAATAGCCCATAAGTAAAAGAGGTGGAAAAATGACAAGGGAAATTAGAAAGTATTTCTAATGGAATGATAATGACAAATAATGACAGATGTGTAGGAAGCAACTAAAGAGCGGCGTAAACCCCCAGGGAATCCCTTCTGACCACTGAGCAGCGATGACACCGGACATCTTTGTTACCAGACAGGGTGTGCTGGAAAGTGATCCAATGCAGATGTAGTTCGTTTAAAATTTAATACTTTTTATCAATTTTATTCTCTTTGGTTCTTTTAAATTTTTTTCTAGTTTTATGATTTTCTGCTATTTGAGGGTTTTTTTGTTTCATTTTGTTACTGTTCTTTTTTTTCTTTTCCCCATGTCTTTCTTTCTATGTAATCCAACATAGGGAAACTATCAAGACAATACCAGAATCAATAGTTTCTTAGAGGCATGGCAGGGGAGATTGGGGGAAGATGGGGTGCTAGTAATGAGCACAAGAAAGGACAAATTAATCTAAGACTGATTGCGGGGTGATTCCACAACTCTTTTTAATATGTTTAAACTACTGAGTTGTGTGATACATAACTTATGTCAACAGAACTGCATAAACATAGTGTATAAGTAGGAGCTGTTTAGAGAGTAATACGGTAGCTTCAAGTGCCTACTAGAAAAGGGGTAAAAACCTAAGCTCTCACCTCAGAAGCTGGAGAAAGAAGTGGAAATCAAAGTCAAAGTAAGTACCAGAAAGTAAGAAGTCAATTAAATAGAAGAGTGACAAAGAAAACTAACAAACGTAAAACTCTTATAATTTAGTTTTTTCCCCTTGAGATTATTTTGGTTATTTCTATTTAATTTCCATATAAATCTTTACATTAGTTTTTCAGTCTCCACAGAAAAGTCTGCTGGGATTTATTTTTTGCTAACAACTTTATTGATCATGGAGAGAACAGTCACCCATGTAAAGTGCACAAGGCAGTACTTTCAGTGGAGTCAGAACTGCAGTCAGAACTCTTTTTAATATGTTTATCATTTAAACCGTTACCACTTTTAGATCATGTGATGAGCCTATATTCCCTTTTGGACTCACACCACTTCCCCCATCTTCCCCCGATTCCACCACTCTGAGGCAATCGCTCTGGAGACACCTATTCTGGACATGACATGTAAATGTAATCAAAGAATATGTGGGCTCGTGTGTCTGGCTTCTTTCAGCACAGTATTTTCAAGGTTCATCCATGTCAGAGCATGTGTCATTAATTCATTCCTTATTATCACCCATTTTTCAAGACTTACAATAAAACAACCAATCAAAGACAGTATAATCAATAAAAAACCCAAACCCACATATTCCATTATAGACTAATGTAATTTATAAATGGCATAAACCCAGTTAAGTCCATTTATTCCAATTCATAGTGACTTTTTACATGGGGAATCTAATCCTTAAGAGTCTGCTGAGAACGTTCCATGTCCCATAAACTAAAAACAAACACAAAAAAAGCCAAACTCTCTGCCACTGAGTTGACTCTAACTCACAGTGACCCTATAATTGGGTGTCGGATGCCTTGTACATTTTCATGGGAGCAGACAGCCTCATCTTTCAGCTGGTGGGTTCGAAGTGCAAACTTTAGCAGTCCAATGCTTCCTGGACAGCTCTTTAGACATTGTAAGTTGGTTCTGGTGTAAGATGACTACCTCTTTTAGTTTTCATTATCTTCGTCTTTTATTGACAGTATTTTTATAAAGGCTGAGAGCTCAAGATGTGTCGCTTTTAAGCATCATAACATATTAGGCCAGGGTGTTTCCTGTTTCTCTCAATGGACCCGTGTTAACAGTATAACAACTTTACCTTCAGATTCTTGCCTTCTTTGGCCAACAATGCCCGGAGTCTTTCTTGTGAAGGGGGTGCAATGAAGATAATATATGGTTTCAAGTCGGAGTTACGGAGGGTCTTCAGTGACTACACAGAAAAGATATTTGGATTTTAAAACTTATTTTCATCATTTAGCTATTTCTCAGTTATGTACTTGGAATATAATAAAGCTATTTTTTAAACATTGCTTGTCTTGTGACTGTTTTCTAAACCTCTTCAAATAATGAATAATATACATTTTAAGATCAAATCATTTATGCTAAAAATATACTGGGTGTATTCATCTATAAATGTGAGTGCTTTGCTCTGTTGTGAAATGTTTTATATTATGAATGACACCGTAAGATGACAGCTATGATTGTTATGATGAAATACTTGATAAGATCACATACAGATTATAATAACCATATTAAAAAATCATTTTGGAGAAACACCACCCTGATACACCTTAACCCTTAAACTGAAATTATACTTAGAGATCACCTTTTAACTACTAAATAAAAGGTTTAGTTCATGAGGGCAATGAATGTACAAATGTGATTTACACAACTGATGTATGGATTGTGATAAGAGTTGTATGAGCCCCTAATAAAATGATTTTAAAAAAGGTTTAGTTCAAAAGCTCAAAGAGTAACCAGCTTCTTTAATACAAATCATCTGTGGGAGACCAAAGGTCAACAAGCTGTTCTCTAGAGCAAAGATGAGAAGGGGTACGACTAGAAAGGAATGCATGGGAATAATCACACAATGTGAAAAATAAAACCAGTGCCACCAAATTGCAATTATGGCAATTAGTTAATGGGAACCTAATTTGCTAGGTAAATATCACCTTAAAAACAGTAAAATGTTAATATCGGGGGTGGGTGGTGGGTGGGTTTGCACTGTTTGGATTAGAAGATTGTGGTTTTCATCTTGCTTTTGCCACTCACTGTGTCCTTACACTGAAGCGCCCTTTCCCACTTGAAAACATTCAGATGGTGAAGATGATACGCTTACATACTCTGAGTTCTCTGATAAAATCTGTTCACTCAAATAATATACAAAACTTAGAAGAATGTCAGCAAAAACATTTACCATGTTCTTAAGTTAAAAAAATTTAATTAAAATACAGAGCCCAAAGTTTCTGCCAAATGAAAATAAACAAACTGACTTACTACTTCAAGAAAGGCCCTTGCAGTCAATTCTACGTACATCTCTTTAGGGACCACAGACTAGGCTGTTTGAGTTAACAGAGCAGTAGAGTCAACCACAATAATTTTATGCTAACCTTACATTGTCTAGGAGAGAAAAAAAAAATCTACAAAATAGAGGAAAACTAAATCTAAAACACTTTCCTAAAAGTATTTTAACTTCTTAAATGAAAATCTAAGTTAGTAATTTTAGGCTTTTGCCTAGACTGCAGATAGAAGTGGAAGGAGGTTTCAGTTAGACACAGATACTGTATTAGTTACTGCCTGTACAGTCACTTTTAGAACCCTAAGAATCATCTTTAAATTTTCAAATTTTTCTAAACTAAGAAACAGAAAAGAGAAATTATTCCGTGTTGTTATCACTCAGTGCTCTCCAGTCAGTTCTGACTCAGCCCTCTTCTACACACAATAGAATGCAACACTGCTCAGTCCTCCGCCATGGGCCATCCTCACAATCGTTTACACTTGAGCCATCGTTGCGGCTACTGTGCTAGTCCTTCTTGTTGCGGGTCTTCCTTTTTTATTCACCCTCCACTTTACCAAGCATGATGGCCTTCTCCAGTGACCAATCCTCCTAAAAAGATGTCAAAAACATGTGAGACCAAGTCTCACCCATCTTTGTTTTTCAAGGATGTACTTGTTCCAATCCAGATGTCCTTCTGGCAGTCCATGGCATCCGTTCTTCTCTCGGTATTCCTTCTTCATTGTCCGGCTTTCACATGCATTATGAGGCCATTAAAAAACACCGTGACATGGGTCAGGCATACCTTAATCCTCGAAGTCACATCCTTGCTTCTCAACACTTTAAAGAGGTCCTGTGCAGATTTACCCACTACAATGTGTTGTTTGATCTCTTGACGGCTGCTTCCATGAGTATTGATTGTGTGTCCAAGTAAGACAAAATCCACAACAACTTCAACCTTCTCCCCATTTCAACATGGTACCTATTGGCCCATGTGTGAGAATGGTGGTTTTCTTTGAGACTTGATCTCTCATTATAGGACCAGTCCTTGGAAAGATAGGGCAGTGGCAAACAGAAAGACCCTCCGTAAGGACCGACACAGTGGCTGCACCACACATAGCACAACTGTGAGAATTGCCCAGACTGGGCAGGGTCTCATCCAGCAGTCCCCGGGGCTGTTATGAGTTAGGGCCAACTCACAGGCACCTCACAATTACCAAAAAACCCATACTAAAGGCCTGCCTGCAGGCATGGTGGAGAAGAGGACGTCCTACTCAAAGAGCTGTATCCGGAGTCTTTTTTGATTATAAATTGTTGCTTGTTCATTTCCTAGTAAGCCCCATAAGCAAATTGTCTTGTGAGTTGTGTGTGACCATTGCCACAAATTATGAAATCCAGCAGAGAAGTAGGGACCGTTAGTGTCAGAGTTGATAAAATGGTTGGAGAGAGGAGGCACATCTGACCTCTGCTGCTGCTGCTGCTGGGGACTCCCTCCCTGGCATAAACAGAGAGGAGGTCCTAAGTCTCTGCACTGCCATTCTTATAGTTAGAAATATTTTTTAATTAAAATTTTATTTTAAAAACCGTAATAATCTTGAAAAGACTTAAGTACTAGAACTTAATTAAGTCCTTTGATTCTTAGACCAAAATATAGTTGCCACTATATTATTCTGCAAAAATATGCCCCAAGTTTAACAGCCTAAATTACCTGTGTGCGAAGATTTAAAAGACATATTTTGCCAGAGTTGATGACTTGCCGTACAGAATCTATGCTGGTGCCATACAAATTTTTCTCAAATTCACCATGCTCAATGAACTTCCCAGCTGCTATGTCTGCTTCGAACGCTTGCCGAGGAACAAAGTGGTAATCTCTGCCAGCTACTTCATGGTCTCGTCTACTCCTGGTTGTATCTAAGCAAACAAAATCCAGTAAAAATAAAGGGAATGGATGAAAGTACACATAGGAACTAACTGCAAATAAATTCCTATGGAATACAGATAATAAAATAATGCTTTCAGGATAATAATAAGAGTTCACCTGTTTAATGTTGACAGTTTTTATTTCTAAGGAGCCTTAGTGATGCACTGGGCTAAGTGTCTGGCTGCTAACTAACTGCAAGGTCAACAGCTGGAACCCACCAGCCCCTCCATATGAGACAGATGAGGCGGTCTCTTTCTGTAAACAGACGTATAGCTTCAGAAACAAGACCGGGTAGTTCTACTCTGTTCTATACGGTTGCTATGAGCCCGAATTGACTCAAAGGCAATGCGTTTGAGTTCTAGATAGAAAATGGCCAAAAATATGTTTCAGTATCTTAATAATGGTTATATTTGAATAGAACTATGGTCTCTAGAAGGAGCCCTGGCTTAGTCGTTGGGATACAAACTACAAGGCTGACAGTTCAGAAAACCGATCCAGGGTTGCTGGGCATCTGAATCCACTCCATGGCAGTGGGTGGGTGCATCACAGAAAGGTTTTCCGATGGCTGATAGTTTCAGAAGCGCACTGCCCAGCCGGACCTTCTTTCAGGCACCTCTGGGTGGACTCCAACCTCTCCATTTCTGGGTAGCAGCCCAGTGTACTAACCACGTGCAAGACTCAGGCAGTCCTCCTTCCCCAGTATGAAGGACTATATCATTTTAAAAGAGAAGTTCTGTTTTTAGAGATTAGCTCTAAGTTTCTATCTTCAGCATCAGTATACAGAATCAAGAAGCTGATTCCATTTTGAACTGGGAATTACAAAGAGCCCAAACTGAAATTTATTCAGAAAGTAACTGGTTTCATACTCACCGATAAAAAGATTTGGATAAACCAGGTCCCTCTTTCATTGACAACAGTGAATGCATAAAATGGATGAAAATGTCTCCTATAGTTAGGCGTTCTAGGTGGTAAAAAGGAATAAATCCAAACTTACGAGGAACTGCAGATGCAAAACGGTCTTTTTCCTTGTTCATGAGCCTCTGGCGCAATTCATTCTGGCCACAGTTCTGTGGGCCAATCAAGATGATAGGTCTTTTCCTATTAGCAGGTTGATGATAAAGTGACATTTCCTCATAAGTTAAGATCTCCTCATTGTCATAATCTTTGGAAAAGAAAAAGTTAAGCCCTTCAACCAGAATTACTGTCAGGTAATAAAGATATAAATACGCAGAGTTCGTCCCCCCCCAAAATTGGAAAGAAGTACAATTTATGAACATTAAAAATGCCTAGTTTTTTTGGCTCATGATAGTGAAAACTGGGTAGTCGATATGAGGAGCACGTTCCTCTATCATTATACCCTGGTGGGGGGCACAAGGAAAGCGAGTCAGACCAGGACACATTAACGTTTCCAGTTCTTCTTTCTCTCGTTTCATACTGTGTTTTGAATGTTCAATACGGTATAATTAAACTGACACTTACGTAAAAAAGTTTGGAGCCAATACTTTGACAGAGGGTGGGAACATGAAGAGATACAACAAATGAGAATATCAATCATTTTGTAAGATGGAGATCTCAGATATCATGAATAGGCTGCGCAGTATACCTAGCACACAGAAGCATTTTAAAAGAGTAGCTATACCTCAAGTTGTTAGAGCAAAATGCCTTCCTGTAATTGTACACCTTGAGAACAGGTCAGACTGGTGCTATCCACACTTTCCACATTTATGTTTATTCTATTCCAGAATACTAACAAGAAGGGTGACTGAAGATTCTGGGTAAAGTGTGGGGGTGCAGTTGTATTCAGATGAAATTAGAACTGTCGACAGGGGAAAGCAAAAGCTAACAACCAGCAGGCTTCTGTGTCCTTTCATCCTATCGCCTGACTAGGAAAGGCCATCTCTCCACAGCAAGACACGTCATGACTATCTGGACCATCTTGATCTTGCCAGGGCTTAGAACAAAGTCCGACACACAGAAGGAGCTCAACTGTGCTTGTTCGAATTCCAGCTCAGCCTGTACTTTATTCTTTGGCATGTCTCCAACATGAACCGAAGCAGGAGCAGTACAGTCAAATGCCCAAAGGACTAACACCAAGAAGGTCATCAAAACCAGTGATCAGGTTGAGTTGACATAAACTTGGGAATGACGGGATCGTTGAACTGGACAGTAAGTGTCTAATATAAAGGCAAAAGCCATTATTACTTAGGTCCAGCAGATAATCGTCCCTGAGAATGAGAGGCCAATGTTGTCTGAGTATTTTTTAATCTTAGTAGTAATTAAAATAACAAAACACATTTCTGTGTGTTTTACTTAAGCCCTGTGCATTGACCTCAGCTAGTAGACAGCAGGATCGTGGAAAGGACCGCATTGAGACATGAGCAATTACTGTAGATGATATTTTCAATTTCTACTTTTAGGACATCTGAATTGTTAGAATTTGTTAAAAGTTTGTATTGGGTTTTCCCCCCAACAGATTAAGTAGAAAAAATAACTGGCGAAACCATCACTATAAAACTTTCATTTTCACTCAAAGTTTCCCCAGAATGCAGAATGATCCATTACCCAAGAGTGTTCCAGAAGAGATAAGCTGCTCTGAATGATTTTCTCAAGTACAAATGATGTTTTAATGGGTCTAAAGGTAAAACTCCCTGAATATCAATGTCATTTCCTTCAAATGTTCACTAGGAATCCATTCAGATATAAACACAACTAAGGCTGGAGAGTAGAACTTACCATCATTTTTATTGGCATTATATAAAACCTTTTTCCTCTTCTTTTTATTCTTCTTTGCACACCATAGTTTTCCTGTTGAATGACCACAAGCACAACTATAAATGTGGCACTTGTTTCCTTTAAAAAATCCACATATTCCAACTTGAAGAACACAAACTGTTTTAAATTTGAATAATTTATAAACAATAATTACATTGTAAATAGAAGAACTATTTTTGAGATGTAGTGATAGCTTGCCATTATAAACAGATAAGCTTTAATACTTACATCTTGCCCCTTTTGTATAGTCCTAAAATGATCTATTTTGCCTCTCACATGAATATTATCTTTCTGAAAAGTTCTGAGAGGTAAATGTAATATGGTCCCAGATGGGGACCCAATGACCTCTTATTAATATCAAAATAGAAGTGTCCAACCTGACTTTTCTGGTTCTTTATCTTCTTCTATTGTCTGCTTCATGGCTTCCCTTTGCTGCTGGAAGCTTTTCCCTTGTTAGCAGAAAAAGAGGAAAATACATAAGATTAAAAAAAAGAGGATTAAAAAACTAGATTTTTTTTCAATCAAGAGAAAATATTTAAAAGTGGCAGCTTTTCATTGATATTCCCTCCCCACAAGAGATGAGAGTGATATCAGCTATTGTATTTTAAAACCTCCAAAAGTGTAAAGCATTAATTTTCATCTCTGTTCTTAAAACTATCCATTAGAAAAGCTAAGTAATAAATTAGTGCTGGACAATGTTAACAGTTCCATATTTTAAAAGCACTCACTGCTGTGCATTTACCATGTGGAAAATACTAGGGTGGGTCTTACAAAGATTCTTACCACTTGGAATGGTCCCAAATCCAGTAAACCAATTCTACAGGTTAACTATTAAAATTAGCATGTGATCATTCATCACCACCAACACAATTCCAATGTGCTCGTGATTTATGCCTTGCCATTCTTATTCGTGTGGGACTTTTTCCTTGGGCCTTTATACATATGCGTGAGTGTATGTATATATATGTCTGTATATGTTTACAATTTTATTTCCACCTTTCAGGTACCAGTGTAAGAGATAAGTGGAAAACACATTTTTTCCTCACAGGATAAAGATTTCCCAAGGTTTCTGACTTTCATCAATTTTCAGAGCTGAACCTCACAAATTTTAAAAAAATAAATATTTTTCTTCAGGATAAAAGTGGTTTTACTTGGAAAATTCTGTAGTAACAGTCCTATATAGTTGTAATCTCATTTTTATTATCTAATTCTTTCAGTTTCAAGCCAAGGAATCTTGAAAAGTAGTCAACAAATTCTATCCACTTGGATAATTAGTAGAATATAGTTTCATTAGCGCACAGCAAAAAAGGAGACTATGATAAATCATATATTGCCACACACGTATCAGAATAGACTGTATACTCCTGCACTGTGGACACATTGTTGGGAGAGACTGGTCCTGGAGAGAGACACAATGCTTGCTCAAGTCGAAAGGAAGCAAAAGGAAAGAAAGGGGAAGGCCCTCGACAAGATGGGTTGACAACTGGCGGCAACGGTGGGCGGGCTCTGCCCTACGAATGACCGAATGAGCGTGAGGACGGCGCGGGCCCGGCAGGGCTCTGTGCTGCTGTGCAGGGCGGCTCTGAGGTGGGGCAGACTCAGCAGCACCTACCCACAATAAATGGTACACATACAGAATATTAAATGACACCATTATTAGCAATACGAACTGCTTTCTTAAGACACAAATCATTGTGATCTAAAGGAAAACCATTTAAAATGTTTAAAAATTTTATGATGATCTATTTCTATGGTAAGTTTGTTTGTTTAGGTGGGGTGGACAATGTGACCCCTTAACATTATTCTGATTCTAACCAAAAAAGCCTTTATCAGAGTAAGGGATGAGTAGGGATGAAGAGCCCTATAACTAAAAACTAAGACAGTTCGTTATTAATACTATATAAAGTTATCAACAGTGCCACTAAGAATAAATGTAAATATATTGACATTTCTTATACCCTAGAAAATCTGCTTTAGTCTTGTTTTCGTGTACAAAACAGACCCAAACCTCAAATATAGTTTGAGAACATTCATCAAGTTCCCAAAAGGGTGATGGCCAGATGAGGGAGGCCATTAGCACGACACAACACAGTGTCTAAGAGTTCAGTTAGGCTGCTAGTTAAATAAGACATGGGGCAAAGGAACCAGTCACAAATCCGTAACTGGTGGCAGATGCATACATCAGTTACAGGTGGGACTACAGAAGCAGGGGCAGGGCCATGACTGAGACATGGACACTCTGTCAGACACAGAGAGCTTACAAACTGGCCTCGGGCCTCTGACCCAGGCAAGCCGGGCATGGCAGACAGGGCATGACTCGTGACTATGAGACACCTCCAGCGCTGTCCCTCAAAGACACACCCGGGAAAGCACCTCAGGGAGGTCTGCGCCTCATTGCACTGGCTGGAGATAATCCACTTTCCAAAGTACTCTACTACCTAGAGGCTAGAGTATCTACACCCTTGGTTACTATTCAGGAGGAATTCAATCTTTGTGGGGACTCTGCAAGTGGATTTTGGGTTTTCACTGTCATCCATAGCCTTCTGCAAACAGGATATCCGAATTTTAAGCTGTAATACAATCCGAAATCTAAGGAAGCCCTTAGAAATTGTTTCAAACCCTTTTGACAGCTTCTTCTGTTCCTACTATACAGCTCTCCACCAGCATATATTTCTTTGGCTCACATTTTTATCAAGACCTCTTTTATACAGGATCTCTGCCCCTCTTCCTCCTAAACATATTACTTGTAGTTAAACCCATGTAGGCAAATTTGGTGTGCTTCATTACCAGGGTGTAGTGTGAGTGATAACTGAAAAATGGCTTTGGCAAAACAAAATTAAAACTTATGAAAGAGCCTTAGGTCTAATTAAGAAGGACAGGTGATGGCAGCATTATTTTTAAAACCACCTTGAATGTATTCCTTTAAGAGACGGTGCCTGCATTTAAATAACCTGCACTAAGTGCTGTGGCGCACACAACGCAGATATAACGGGTACTTACAAGTATTTAACAAACACGTTCAACATATTCTGTCATCTTTAAAATCGCATTCTACTCCCTTGGTTCTGCTTCTTACTCCATCCTACTCCCGTCCTAAGAACTGACTGTTGGAATGATTATAGCTAGACACTTCGTTTTGTTATAAGTAATGTTACCTACATACCGATCTGCCAAGGCAGGAGCCCTGCTGGTGCTATCAGGTAAGGATAGCAGTTCAACTGCAAGGTTAGCAGTTCAAGCACACCAACTGCTCCTTGAGATAAAGATGGTACTATCTATTCCTGTAAATATGTGTAGCCTCAAAATCACCTAGATAGCAGGAGCTTATCTGTCTAACTTTTTTCCGATTTAAATTTTTGTTTATTAGATAAAACTTTAGAGGGAAAAAAAATCAGTTTTCTATTCAACAATGCATACATTTGGCTTCACATCACTGATTGCAATCCTCACGATGTTAACATCATTTCTCACTTCCTGTGCTTCTAGTTTCCCTTCTTTAGTCTGTCAAAACCCTTGTGAACTCCAGGAGTTGATAGTTTTAAGACGCACAAACCTTCCTAGTATTACTGTTCATCAAATAGACCTATTGTCTGAAAATTGGACCACAGGGGTGAGCTCAGTTCTAGACCTGAAGTGTGATTAAGGGCCACAGCCTTGGGGATTCCACCTGCCTCCATCCATCCAGTAAGCCTGGTGATTTTTATGATTTTGAGTTCCGGGTCCACATTTATCTCCCCCTTTATCCGGGACTTTCTAAAGTGACCCCTTTCAGAGAGGTCAGTGGTGATAGCTGGGTTGTGGAGGCTAAAATTCTTGTGTTCTGTGGTAGTTGGTAGTTACATCATCTCATGTCAACTTGACAGCGTGAAGGGGTGCAGCCTAACCTGTCAAACAGGACACAGCCTGATGATGCTTCCTTATGGGTGCTGCCTTCTCATGAGCATTCTGGGAACTTCCTCTCTTTTTCCCTGGGGGTGGGCCACATACTCTCTCTGTTTCACCGTCCTGTTGACAAGCCATGTGGAACCATGCTGAGACCAGAGCAAGCCATGTGGAGGCCAGCACCCGTGCTGAGATGTTTCCAACGGCACTGGATCCGCAAGACTTTGCACCCACTGGCATGTGATCTTCCTTCATTCAGCATCATTGCATGTGCTGCATTGGACATATGGCTAATATCAGACTTATGGACTTTTTCCGAACTGAACTGGGATTTTTCCCTATACAACTGCTTTTTAATATAAAGCTCTCTCTTACACACAGAAGACTCTCTGGATTTGTTTCTCTAGTCAACTCTAACACATGGTCTATTAGTCCTTTGAACTAACTGTTTCCATGCATTTCTCATTCTCTTCCTTCTGTTTTGCTTCAGGGGAGGGGAGACCAATGGTGATACCACAGACAGACATTCAGCTGTAGGACCACAAAAGTAGTAGACAGAACATTTGCTTGGTGAAATATATCGTGTCAATTAACGTTGTTGTTCCCCAAGAATATGGTCCGAGGCTCCTTGGCCTAGTGACTCATTTTCATAAGTATGACATCGTTACTCTTTCTGAAAGGCATATTCCCTTAATGACTTTAATGTCCAACGTTTCAGTTTCATCTCAAAGGACAATTTTCCTCAATAATAATAAGCATATTCAAGTACTCTATTTCCACCCTAAAGAGCCCTGTTGATAAAAAGGGTTAAACTTGGCCTGTTCTCTGGGAGAAACATGAAGGAAGCAGCCTGCTTCCACGAACACTTACGTTCTCAGAAAGCTGGGGAGCAGTTCTGCTCCGTCCTGCAGGATGACTACAAGTTAGGGTTGACTTGGTGGCAGTAGGTTGTTGCTGTTCTTTGGGGGTCTTCTACCCTAAGAGAACTTCTTTTTGCTGACTGCTGCTAGCCTGTCACATGCACAACAGAATGATACGCTGCTCTGTCCTGGGCAAGCTCCGAAGTCAGTTGAGGATTAGACTATGGCGACCGAGGGGGCTTTAACTGTCTGATTTTTGGAAATAGATTGTAAGGTTTTTCTTCCTAGTCTGGATCCACTGAAACATGTTCAGGATTATAGCAAACCACAAGTCTCCACACTAATGGGCAGGGAAGGGATGCACATAATACACACGCTGGCTGGGAATCAAATCAAAGTGAGAATCTACCAGAGAAACACGACTGTCCTTGCTATTTCCAAAAACTAAACTCACTGCCATCCAGTCAATGCTGATTTATAGCGACCCCCACCCCCCACCCCTGGGTTACCGAGACTGGAACTGTTTATGGGAGTAGAAAGCCCAGTCTTTCTCCCTCAGAGCTGCTGGTGGTTTCTAACTGCCGACCATGAGGAGCCCTGCCCAATGTGTAACCATTATGTTACCAGGGCAGTGGCTAAAGTGATAAATTATTATTCACCTGATTTTAAAAGCTTTTTATTGTGTCTCCTGATGTTTTTTATCAAGTGATGCATTATTTTTTTATTTTACAAGTTTGTTTCTTCCAATTGGGAGTTAATATTTATTTATGTAGTAATGTACATTCTTTTCCTTCTTGGAACGAACACACACACACACACACACACACACCCCTTATTCTACTTGCTGTCCCTATAAGTTCATCAATCCTGGGTTTCATATACCAAAAAGGAGAAAAACATATGACACAAATTCAAGAGGGTGACCCCCAATGACATAACACATCTGAGCTAAACCTTTATATGAACAAACAAAAAAATACAGAAAATGTTGAAAGCCAGATCAGGTTCAGCATGCATCAGAGGCAGAATCAACTTATATGGTTTTAACCATTCAAGTCAGGTTTATCCCTTTGATCTTTAAGTGATGCATTTTAATATATCCCTTATGTATCAGAAGTTTGAAACTCCAGTTGATGATAATCTCCTACTACTACAGTATTCAGGTTCAATACAAGTTTTGGTGCCTCGATAGCAGGATAAACTACATGAATGTAATAGAATGAGAATAACTGAAAAATTAACAACATAATTCCGTCCTGAAATCCCAACAATTGATCACACTTCTAGGCAAGATATTTATGTCACAGATACAACATAAATATGCAAGTATAAGAAAAAGTAAACACATGATTCTTAAAAGAGTTTTTCTGGGCAATGGCTTGGATTTTAAATGTTCTCTTAATGTTAGCATTTCTACTATGTTGTCTGTTACCTGGAACGAGTCCAGCGAGAGGCTGATTATCTTCATCCCCATCCCGGTAGGCCTGCCACCAATTTGGATCTTCCTGACTGATCACATGAAGGATATCCCCTTTTTGAAAAGACAGACCTAATTCTCGACATGGAACATAGGGGTCGTCTGAGGGGTCATAATCAAAATGAGCTTTAACATGGATCTAAAAGAAAGATTTAAAGGAAAAAAAACAGCAATAATAATTTAAAAATTGGCAACACAAAACATTCCTGTTTTTAGTTAAAGCAAGGAAACTATAAATTGAAAGAAAGGTATTTAAACAACTACTTTTGGGCAATATTTTCTCAGGCTCACCTGTTGTCTTCAGGCAAGTTAATCTCTAATGGGTGCCAACATGTATAAGAATATCCAAAACCCTCTACTTGTCATGAACCTTAAGAAGGCCTTCTTTTAAAAAAGACAGTGATTGACAGAGGTGCATTTGCATTAGAGTGAGGTCAAAAGGCAATAATACAAATGTGCCTTACTCTTTCTTTTTTTTTTTTAAAGGAAACCCAAGATTTCAAATTCATCTACATCAAATTTATAATCATTTCCTTACTTGTGGTCTATGTAGATGTGGTTATAATTACTAATGATATGAGTTATTATTGTTTTGCTAAGATGAAGACTGTATATGTATGTAAATCACAGAACTATGTTATGCTATGTAGCATTAAAGGTAGGTTAGAGTTCACCTGTCTCGAGAATTAGATCAGGCTATTATTTCTTATGCCATTTCCCCCCAGTATGTCTCTCCCTGTAAGATTCAACAAGAAACTCATATTTGCTACATTTCTCATTTTTACCTAACCAGGGCATTACCAAAGTCTGCAAGATGTCTATTATTTTTTTTATTAACTATTGCAGCTAACCTAAAAGCAAGGGTTTAAAGTTCAAAACACACACAAGCAAACTGAGGAAAACAAGTGATCCAGCTAAAAATGTCAAACAGCTAAAACAAGCTTGTTTTAGTCTGCTTTATTTGTAGCTTTTTACAAGTAAAAACATAATTGGAAATCTAGAATTAGAAATTTTAAGTACCAAGTAAGGTAGTAGAAAGGTAATTTCTGTTATCAGTCTCCTCACTACAAAATCATACATGCTACCTTAATTGCTAACTTTATGAAATCACTTCCTGAAAGCAAAACCTAGCTTTTATGTTTTCAAGTGTTTTGTTCAGGTCAAAGAAACAAATCATTGTGGAGTCCACTCTGACTCACAGTGGCCCTTTGGATGTTGATAGGGTGTTGGCTAAAATGCTGCATTCTCATGCCACACCTCAGTCTATGCCTTTCAATCAAATTCCTGAGGTAGTACTTCTGGAAACAAATCTGAGGGAACGATTGCCTAAGGGGAAATCAGACAAACCAATAAAGAGGGTGCATCTAGGCCTTCCGACCTTTACCAGAGGCCAATAAAACCACCCAGACATGCTTCCCTTCCTAAAGTGACCAGGCCTCACCCCTTGAACGCTATGATGAGCAGATTTGGAATGAGGTAACCTCCTGGTTTAGGCACAGGAAAGACTGCCAGGAGAGGTACAGAGGGCACGCTCTGTGTTTATGTCAACTTCCTCAAGCGTCATGAAATACAGTCCCCAAAATTATGAGCAACAGTAATTTAAATGCATTTTCCTAAGCAAAGTTGATTTTACAGTAGTAAAAAGTACTCACTTGAGCTAACTACAATCTGAGGATTGCCTAGATCTGCACTGCGACTTCTGTTCACAGTCTTTCCCTCTCAGCTGTAGGTAGGGCGTCTGCTTTTGTGTGCCATGCACGGGAAAACAAAGCCCTTTTCAAATGAGAGACCTGACCCCCATAGGAAAGGTCCAGGGTGCCACAATGCTGTAATAATACTATATTTGTATGGGCAAATCTGCTGCAAGAGAACGAACTCTTAAAAGTGTGAGAAAGCAAAGGCGCCATTTTGAGGACTACTGTGTGCCTGACCTAGTCCACAGTATTTTCTGTGTCCTTATACCCTGTGCAAGCTGAACAATGAATAAAAGGAACTGATGCCTCTGAATGATGGTGCTGGCCAAAACACTGAACAGATTGTGGACATCCAGAAAAACAAACATCTGTCTTGGAAGAAGTCCAGCCCCAATGTTCCTTAGAAGCAGGGATGGAGAGACCTGGCCTGGTCTTGCTTACTCCTTCACCCTTACCTCTTACACCCTCTGCTCATCATCATTCCATTCCTACTTTGTACCATCCATACAGATTTTCCAAACACAAAGTTCTTTAGAAATTATACCTAGAAAGTATTCCTCGTGGCAATTAACAGGCCTGACTCCAACACATCCTATGGGTCTGTTTCATGGTACTTCCAAACGGTTTTCCCTGACCTCTCTCTCTAAATTAACCACATCTCTTTCCATTCCTCGTGAGCACATCCTGCTTATTCACATCTTATTCACCATAGTCTATAATAACTTTATGTAAGACATAGTAGAAACCCAGTGCTTAGCACAAGGCTTGCACAAAGCATTTAATAGACATTCATTCTAAGGGAAAACAATAGTTTGGAACATTGACTATATTAAAATTAATCATATTGCTAGGTTAACGTCTAATTTTATGATTTGGATTTCTGAACTGTGAATTTAACAGCCTCGTAAATTTCTCCTTTGGCCACAGCTCTCTGCAATCTCTTCCATTTATTTATTTTTTTTTCCGAGTGAGTGAGACAGTGAGTGAGTGAGAGTGAGTGAGTGAGACACTGAGAGAGTGAGAGTGAGTGAGACAGTGAGTGAGTGAGGGTGAGGCAGTGAGAGGATCTCTTCCATTTCTAAGTCCAACCTTACAAATCATCACAGGTGTAGCAGTTGAGAAACATCAGTTGTGACCCCATCAGTTTAGAGGTCAAGCGTCTTACAGGAAAATAACAGAATTCTACAGCAATTACAAATACAAAAATCTAAACCATGAATTTATTGTCCCCGTTGGGAGTAAGGTGAGGCAATCTGCCTCCATACAGATCACAGCCTTGGAAACCCCACGGGTCAGGTTTACATGCTCCTATAGGGTTGCTGTGAATCAGCATCTACTCACTGGCAAGGAGGTTGCTTTTGGGTTATCCTCAGAAGCCCTGATGGCGTAGTGGTTACTTGGCAGACGGTGATCTGCAAAGTTAGCTGTTTGAAACCACCAGCTGCTCCAAGGGAGAAAGATGAGGCTTTCTACTCTCGGGAACAGTTACAGTCTTGGAAACTCACAAGGGTGGTTCTACGCTGCTCTCTCGATATGGTCACTATGAGTCCGCCTGGACTCCAGGGCAGTGACGTGGGGTTTTTGTTGTTTTGTTTTGTTTTTTGAGTTTCAGAACCCACACTTCTTGTAATAAATAGAGCTACTAATAGGTTAGCCCATCTGCAGTTCTAATTTCCTATCATGATATGCAAACTATTTTCTTTGGGTAAACAGCAATACTAATATTAGGGGCTGTGTGAGACATTACCTGTTATCCTGCCCAGAAGTTAAAAGGCAGATTCTAGAATGAGTATGGGTTCTAGCCTGATTATCTCCTACTAGTGGTGGGCTTGGGCAAAAAACTTCACCTTTCTAAGTTCTAGTCTCATTGTCTGTAAAATAACAACAGAAATAATCATATTTCATAGGGATGTTGTTACAATTAAATGAGATACCACATTTAAAATGATTAGCACAGTGCCTGGCACAAAGTAAGTAATCATAGTAATGGCTAACATTTATTGAACAACCTGAATTAAAGGAAGAAATTAAAGATAACAGATAAGGCAGCTGAAGACCAAGTATTGTAGCCAAATAAAATCATGAGAGTGGTAAGTAAACACAAAAAATGTAAGAAAGTTTTCAAACATGCTAGCTGCACGAGCTCATTATTTTACAGCTAAGAAAACTGAGGCTACCAATAGCTAAGTGGTTTGTCTATGCAGACAGCTTTAGTAGGAGGCTGGAAAGAGAATCCAGGTTTCCTGACGTTTATGTTGGCACTCTTTCCATTATACTGCAATTCAAATGGAGAGATCCGATTGATTTATCTCCTCCAGTATAAAGTATAAAATGACCAAATATTCTAAAATGTCATTTACAAATCATATCCTCTTGGCAACAATATTGCAAATGATACCTGGGTTCCCAGAGAACCTACAAAAACCTGTTAGGTTGACTATGTAATGGAAATGAATGTATAGTCCTTCTGAGTTGACCTATGTCCTGTCACTAGTTTAAGGAAGAATCTCCTGTTCCTTTTTTTGGTAAACTGGAAAGAAAAAAATAACTAAAGCATGTGATCTCTACATTTTATTTACTTCTCTGTAATATTATTTAGATATTAAAATAATTTTTATTATTTAGATATTATATTAAATGATAAAAAGTCTCTTTCCACTAAAAAAATTCTAATATGTCTTCTCTCCAGAACACTTAAATTATAGATGAAACTAGTTTACATATTAGTCTGGGAAAGCCAAGCTATCTTTGAAAGGACTTTGTCAAGAAGGAAACAGCACAGTTTGAATAATTTGTATGTTTCCGTGAACAAATATCCCAGCCATCCAGGAAGTGAATTAGAGAGGTACCAAAACCACTGCCCTCCAGTACTAATGGAGTGGCCATCCTTGAAATTCATACAAGTCTTTTACTCATTAGTAGTACATTATTGTAGATATAAACATAGGGCCCATCCCATCTCTCCTTTATTGTACCTCCTAGTTTACGGAGCTAGTTTAGAAGCGAAGGGCCAGTAAAGATATAGGTAAAGGAATAGTACTAAGATTCAGGCTGCCTGAATTCAGAGACAACCTTGGTTTCCTTATTTTTCTTGATACAAATAGCTGGAAACAGAAGGAAGATTGCAGATGTGATATCAATGTGTCATTAAAAATAAGGGGCAATCATCCCAGGGGGATGCACAACAGAAAAGTGGGTGAAGGGATATAGCCGTCGGTGTAAGACACGGAAAAAAAATTATAAATTAGCAAGGGTTCGCGAGGGAGGGGGGAAAATGAGGAACTGATATCAAGGGCTCAAGTAGAAAGAAAATGTTTTGAAAATGATGATGACAACATATGTCTAAATGTGCTTGACACAATGGATGAATGGATTGATTGTGATAAGAGCTGGAAGAGCCCCAATAAAATGATTTTAAAAAGAAAAGAAGGGGGAAATATGGAGTAATAATCAAAATAACATATAACTGTGATAAAATATATTTTTAAGTGAAACTGTTCTTTTTGAAACGTATGCTTCTATAAAAAAGCAACAGATGCAATACAACAAGCATCCACGATAAACTAGCACTTGGAGGTTCGTCACTCTTTTTGAGATTTAATTCACGTGTCGTACAATTAATTTGTCCATTAAAAATAGACACAATTAAGTGTTTTTTAGTAAATTCACAGTGCTGTGCAACCATTACCACCACCCATTTTAGATTTTCAGCAGAAACCTTGTACCTCTTAGCAATCACTCCTAGCTCTCACCCCTAAGTGTATCCACACCACTGCCATGGAATTAACTCCAACTCATAGCAACCCAAAGGCGGAGTCGAACTGCTCCCCAGGGTTTTGAGGTTGTAAATCTCTACAGGAACACACTGCCCCATCTATCTCCCTTGGACTAGGTCGGTGATGCAAACTGTTGACCAACTTGCAACTAATTATGCCTCAACACTTCTTCCCAAGCCTAAGGAACCAATCAGGAATTTACTTTCTGTCTCCCTGAATGTGCCTCTTCCAGTGGGTTAGGTGAGGAGCCCTGGTGGTGTAGTGGGCTGTGCACTGAGCTGTTAACCTCAATGTCAGCAGTTTGAAACCACCAAATGCTCCAAGGGGGAAAGATTATAGACTTTCCATGTCCTTAAAGACTTAACACCTCGGAACCCACAGCAGCAGATCTACTGTGTCCAATTAAGGTCGTTAAGAGTCAGACTCTACTCAATGGCAGTGAATGAGTGAGCGGGCAAGGTTCGTTGTGGTTCAAACTCAGCATAAGTCCCGAGAGAAAGAGATGGCAGACCGCTGCCAGGAACATTCACAGCTTTGGAAACCCTAAAGATCAATTCTACTTTGTCTTACAGGGATGCTATGAGTCAGAACTGACTTGACAGCAATGGATTTGTTTTGTTTGTGTATAATTCAACAAATGAATCAATAAAAATTAACCTACCTGTAACTACAGAAAAAGACAATGTTCAAAGTCGGAAAAATTATTGAAATTCTCCACTTTTTATTTAGACAAAGTTAACAGTAAACTAAACTTGGATAATTTCACATTTATTTAAATCACCCCCCCTAAATTTAGCTGTCTCTACTTGAGTGTATGAAATACTGAGAATGACACTGCTGATAGTAAACAATAAGCAGCCATGGAACAACCAATATCAGAACACAAAGAAATCACTTACTACTGTTTCCCTGGGAGCGGGAGGCCTGCTATGTTGATTGGGACTCAGCACAAACGTCAAAGTGCCATGCATATCAGACTGCAATGCAAAGAGTTGCTTATTTTAAACATTATTTCTGAAAATGTTGCATGGTTTTTGACTAATACTTCTTAAGAATACTATTTCAGAGAATACTTCAATATACTTAAAAAAATAAAATCAATAAAGACAAATCCCATTTACTCAAGAGCACATATTATGCTTTTCATTGATTCCAGTATATTAGAATGATCCTAAAAATGGCATCTTACTGTTCTGGTTTATTGGGGAAGACAGTCCATGAAGTCTTGGTTTTGTCTAATTGTGGCTATGATTAGAAAAGCTTTTTAAACATGCAAACGTGCAAATATTCCCAATTTCAAGATGCATCTTACTCATCCACCCTATTTCTTAACTGATGGGAGTCTTATTGGTAGGCTCACTGTTATTTCATAGTGCTCCTGACTGAATAACGAGTTGATGATATATTCTAGATTCCACAACGGACATTAGCATACAAGAAGACTGTTCCTTTGGGTGTATAAAAAATTATCATATATTATTCTCAAGCACTGATTGTAAATGACGTTGATTATACCAGCATTGTCCAACAGAACTTTGAAAATTTATGAAAATGCTTTGGCATTAGCTGTATAGTGCTTTTGAGCACCTGAAGTGGAGGTACTACAATGAGGAATTAAATCTTTGATTTTTACCTAATTTAAGAGTCCTTATGGTATAGAGGCTATGGTGTAGTGGGCTACATGTCAGGCTGCTAACTCCCAGGTCAGCAGTTCTGATGTAGAAAAATAAGGCTGTCTGCTCCTGTAAAGGTTTATAGTTCTGGAAGCCCAAATGGGCAGTTCTACTCTGTCTTATAGGGTTGCTACATATGTGAGCTGACTAGTGGCAGGGGGACTGGCTTTTGGTTTAGTTTACCTAATTTAAATGTAAATAGTCACATGTAGCTCGTTGCTACTATATTAAATGATGCATGTCTAGACCACTCATACGGACTAATAATGCTGGGGAAACAACAATCAGTTGTCAGTGTAAGAAAATGAAAACACAAACAAAGCATGAACAAAAACCACGGGGGTGCAGGACCTTGTTTTGTTACTCTTCCCCTAGTGGCTAGGACATAATAGACATTAATAAGTATTTGCTAAATAAATTAAGTTACATTATTACTGACTTCACAGACAAATAAAATATAGCTGTAGTAATAAAACTCAAAGTGAAAAATTATCAGTGGCATCCATACAGGCTAGAAATTGTCTAATGCTCTTAGCAATTTTTCAAATTTATTCATAAACCGAGTAATAAAGAAAGAAAGCTGTTTTTAGAGCACCTATCAATGGCTTTTTCCTTGTGTCAACTCACCAATATGTCAAAAACCTCATTGACGTCTTTTCCCCGAATCGCAATACCATTTATCTCCAGAACCTCATCTCCTTCATGTAACAGACCGCTTTTTTCTGCGGCACCTCCTTTTACTATCCGACTTATGATGACAGATTCCATTTCATTACGTACTGTAGCACCCTTAAAGATATTAATAATGATAATAATAAATCCACCCTCAATTTAAGAATAAAAATACAATTTTTCAAGCACTTAACAATGTCAGCCTTCAGTTATCTAGATGGGGGAAAAGGACTTAGATGGCTAGAATAATTATGGCAATTAAATTTGAAAGCTCACCATTTCCTACTTAAGAACACTCTATTCATTCGGATTCTGAAATCCAGCAGACTTCTGAAGCACACAACAAAAGAAAAATGTACTTGCTTAAAAACAATGTGTCAGAGCCTATAATCAAACTGGTTCTCTATAAATTGGATGCTGTTCAAATGGTTACAATACATTCATGTAATTAGTGGCCATAATTTATAACTGTCTTTTTGCATTAAAATGTAACTCACTAATATTAAACATTAAATGTATTGTATTGATTACACAAATTGGACGCACACCTAAAAAATGTATGCTCAAAATTTGGAAATATGGCATATGGAATAAAATTCTGTCATAACTTTCCAATTTCCTTTCCTTTTTCTGGCAAAAAAGTTACATAAAATATAACTATAAAAGTATCCATATTCCATATACCACACAATGTAATACACAAAATCAAGAATATTTCTCTAAAAAAAGGGGGAAAAAAACTGAGGCACTGATAGAAGACTAAATAAAGCAAAAAAAATGTTTTTCAATATAATTACAAAGTAAATATAAATATTAAAGAATCCTTATTTCTAAGAATATCAAAGTAAATGTTTTCCAATAAAATTAACTGAATACAAAGATGAGGATTTCTAACTGTTGCTAAGGAAAGCAAGCTGGGAGAATAGAATAAATTACTTATCCTTCTATGTGCTTCAACAATTATTTCAAGAGCTACTCTTTCTATCACAGAGGTGAGAGGATGAACAATGTTCTGCACCAAGGAAGTAGTGTGTGCAAGAAAGTAAAATCACTTCAAAAATGAGCCTCAGAGAGAATCACTGCGGTGCAGCAATGCAACGAGGTCCTGAAGTGGCTGCTATCTGCAAGCTCTCACCTGGAGACTTTCAGATGAGAACTGTGGGAGACTTACCAATGGGATATCTCGAGCCTTTTCTATACGGACTATTTTTACAATTTCTGTCCCATACTGGCCAATGCTTTCATATACTCTCTCATCTGTAATGGGCTCTAGCTGCATTTCCTGCTCAGCAACCTTATCATGAGCCAGTAAAAGTGCCTGTTTCAAAAAAAAATCACAACATTTTAAGTAAGACTTCACAATCTATTTGGCGAGAGTGATTTTTAATCTAATTGTGTACTTAGTATTTTGATCATTAAATATTTAAAAGAAGTGCTATAATTATATATCTAGATCTGTTTTTAATCTTTCCATCTAAGTACAGATGTAACCCTAAGTCTTTTATAATTAATAAATGTGCTATGTATGTTTGGCCATACAATGAGAGGGCTTATGAAAGTCTAAAATTAAGTATACTTAAACACTAGGGAATTAAGTATTTATGGGGAAAGATTATAACTAAAGGGATAAGATTCTATCCAAGCTTAAAAATGAAGAGTTGTTTCAAAGATAATTGGTTAATATTAAATATGGAAGTATACTATCCAACACCATCTTTATTTCATAGAGGGAGCTGCAAATATAAACAAGCTAAACTCTGATTTTTTTTTTTGTAACTGACAAGTGAGAGGAAAAACTATGTCATACTCTGCCCATTTTCTACCTGAATATGTGGCGCACTCAGCAAGGCAGATAATTCTTGTCCTTCCTTCTGATGGACTGGCTTCAGAACAGCTTGTACCTAGAAAAAACATACATATTATTCTTCTAAAATTGTAAAGAAAAATATCAGCATCACTTAGCAGGTTTAGTATTTTTTTTCAAGTGCAAATTAAAATAATGCAATAAAGAAAAGCACCCAAATAAATTATAAGAGGAAATAAAACAAGATTTTTTTAATTCTATCGCGTCCAATCTTGTTAACATGGTTAACCAAATTCCTTATTAAAAATATTAGGCAAGTGTTAAGCCTATGATTGAAATATTTTCTTGCTGAAAATTTCACCCAACATACTATATACTACTGATAATAAAAGCATAGGAAATAAAAAGAACAAAAACAAAAGGGAACAAAAAATGATTTGAGCAGTCTATTTTATAGTTTTATAATCTATGTCATTACATTTTAAATCAGTGAAGACAATTTAAGAGTTACAGACTAACAAGAGAAATTTATTTGAGCAATGGAACATAGTGAATTGCATGACTTTGCCTTAGCCCTTTCCACAGGATGTTTATGTTGCCTATATTCTCCTCCTCTGAGGTTTACAAGTGCTTTCTCACTAACAATGCATGTAGCCATCAGGAGACCTCTCAAAATGTTTGAAACAAAATTGTGTGTGTACCACAAATTACTGTTTTTTATTGGGTATTGCATGCAGTGCTGCATATGTGAATTTGCAAAAAAAAATTTGTCTCTTGACTTTTTTTTAATGGGGAAATAAGCCTGGAAAGTGTATTTCTGGGTTCCTATATATTATTTGAAAGTTGCTGGTCTCATGACGATTCCATGTTCATGTGAGTAGCGTGTTTTTAGCACCCTCACCTAGATGCATCTGTCAAGGAGTCTAGAAGGCCTGGCAGAGTCCAGAGGAACAGGTGTCCTACATATTCCTACTTCCAGAGAGGCACGTGTGTATCCCACATACGTTTCAATTCTGTATTTCACAACATTTCAGAAATGCTTCTTGCTTCCACATGTCTCACATTCATGAAAACACATGGTATCAACAAAAAATTCAACATGGAAAAGCTGGGTGATGAAAAGGTTAAGTCAAACAATACTAGGGAAAACCTCACGTGTCTATGATGAGATTTTTATCTTGTACCTAGAGAGTCACCATCATTCGCTGTTGTTCTTCCAGTGTCGCTGTGCCAATTCTGACTCATAACCACTCTACCACTTAAGGCTTTTAAAAGACCAAGCAAAGTGCTTGGCACATACATTACTTTAATATGCTTCTTCATAAGAGATATTCCATATTTTAACATTCCTATATACTTAAAATTTAACCCACTGCCATCAAGTCAATTCCAATTCGTAGTGACGCTGGGTAAGACAGGACAGAACTGCTCCGTAAGATTTCCAAGACTGTTGGTTAGCTGCTCATTGACCCGATATAGCACCAGACCTTCAAATTTCTTTATGATGTTCCTAATAAGTGTCGTCCTATGTACTAACTATAAAATTATTCTCAAGTTTTAGTATCGATGTTAAAAGTATCCTAGTACAATGAGTTGGGTTGGGCTCATTCTGCATGTGTTGGAACAATTCCTGAGTGTTTTGATAAAGCTTGTGAGTAAGATCATCTAGGCCTGCTTCCTTTTTAAAGGGTAGATTTCTGATTAATATTGATTTTATTCATAGTTAATATTGATTTTTTTCCATCTCTGGTTGAGACACAATGGCAATTTACAGGTTAAGATAAACACACACAATAGCACTTGGACATTTACCTACATAAAGCTGCAGCCATGTTATTTTAGAATTTAAAATATTGCTTTTTCAGCTTATATAATTTTTTGGTTTTGTTTCATTATCTTTTCAATTTCTAATCACTTGGGTTGTACATTTAGTGCATTTACTGTCACTCTTTTGAACATAAATTTTTTTTAAAAAATCAATTTATTGAGGGCTCTTACAACTCTTATCACAATCCATACATCGATTGAATCAGGCATGTTTATACATATGTTGCCTTCATTCTTTTCTAGACATTTACTTTCCCCTTCTCTCCCCCCCACGCTCATATCCCCTGGTAAAATCTACATTGTTATTACTTTCATCTCTCATACCCACCGCTGTCTCCCTTCACCCATGTTTTCTGTTGTTCTTCCCCCTCTAGAGCGGGTGTATGGTTATGTGTCAGTCATTGCAATTGGTTCCCCCTTTCTTTCTTCCTCCCACTTCCCCCTACCCTTCTGGTATCACTATTCCCACTCCTGTTCCTGGATTCTGTGTGTCGTGAGCTCCCATCTCTTATCTATACCTGTGTACATGTCCCAGTCCAGCCTGAATTGAGAAGGAGCACTGGGGTCATGGTAGTGGGGGGTGAGGAAGCCTCAAGGAACCAGAGGAATATAGTGTGTTTCACTGCACCCTGGTGACTCATCTCCCTGTGGGCCCTCTGGGGGGAGATTGTTCCACTGTCTACAGATGGGCTTTGGATCTCTGCTCCAGCCCCCCTCATTCTCAACAATATGTTTTTGTTTGTTATGTGTCTGCTGATGCCTATTACCCGGTCTCTATGACTCCTCATGATTGCACCGGCAGTGTGCTTCTTCCATGTGAACTTGTTGCTTCACTGCTGAATGGCGGCTTATATAACTTTAAGCCTTTAGGACCCTAGGTGTTACATCTTTTAATCGCTGAGCACCATCCACCTTCTTCACCACATTTGCTTATGCACTCGTTTTGTCTTCAGTGACTGTCGGGAGGGTGAACATCTCAGAATGCCAATTGGTTAGAACAAAGTTGAACATATATATTTAAGGTATAAATTTTGGTATACAGACTATTTTTTCTCCTCAAATGGCTGTGCTATGTGGCCCCCATGTCCCCCATCTTAGATTTTCTTTTGTTTTCTGCACTCATACCCCAAGTTTCTCTCTCTCTAAATACCTACAAAAAGAGTATTTTGCAATAACTCAGATACCAAAACTAAAATTATCAAAGTAAATCTACATAGAGTGGAAATTTTTATAAGAGTAATTCATACATACCCTGTTTCCCCGAAAATAAGTGTCTTATATTCATTTTTGCTCCCAAAAATGCACTAGATCTTATTTTCAGGGGGATGTCTTATTTTTCCATGAAGAAAATGGTACACATTTATTGTTTTATTAAAAGAGACCTCGCACTTCCTGTCTGCTCCGGCTGCGCTGCAGCCAACAGTGAGCTGCACAGCGGAACCTACTGCTAAGGTCCAGAGTCCAGAGTTACGGTAGCTTCGGGTGGCCTTATTTTCGGGGAGGTCTTATTTTCAGGGGGATGCCTTACATTCCAGTGAGAGGCAAAAACTTTAAGTAGGTCTTATTTTGGGGGGATGTCTTACTTTCAGGGAAACAGGGTAATAGGAACCCAGAATTCTAGAATTTCTCTTACTCTGGCTTTAAATTCTTGTACTAGTAGTTCCCCTATCAAATATAAAAAACAAAATTCATTGCTACTGAGTCAATTCTGACTCATAGCAATCCTATGAGAGAATAATTTGAGGATTACCTAATTTTGACTGCTACAAGTGGATACTAAGCAATGTCTCCAAACCAGCCTGAAACTAGAAAAATAAGTGTAGAGTTTCTAAGTGTAGATTTCCAAACAGGATGGCACAGCAATTATTATCTTCAAGAATTCCACTGAATCCTACTTAAAGTATGTGCTACCAAAAACCTGATTTTTAAAATAGTGTTTACTTTTCTAGGATATATAAATCTTAGGTTAATTTAGAATGAAGTTGATATTCCCTGGTTAAACATCTTTTGTTAGTTAGAGGAGACAACTTTGGATTAAAATGTTAAGGATGTACAAAATGTACCAAGTCAACAATTTTCTGTTGGTCTGATATCTAAGTCAGTTCCTAAATATTTATGAGATTCCCCCTTTTAAAAAAATTAGAACTCCTCTAATTATTACTGTTACTCCTGTTACTCCTGTTACTCCTGTTTACTACCCTAACCTTCCCAGATGCTACTTATTAGAGTTAACACATGTCACCACACTTCTACAAAGGCCTAAGCGTTAGAAGGCTATTGTTATGTATTATGTCCCATTAACTTTTTTCTATTGGCCTATAAAAGTGTTCAAATCTGTTATATATATAATATATATAATCCTTGGATCTGTGCTCTACTGTGCTGTTTCTCTATTTTCTTTCAGAGCCAAGCTCATTTTTTTTATTAAACTAATTTTGTTTTTTCATTTACAAAATGGCATGTATATGTAAAAAATCAGAATAGTTAACAAGGAAATAAAAATGCTTAAGTCCCCAAACCTAGGGGCAATTCTTATGGTATATATATCCTTCCTGCCTTTTATACTTGTTTTTACCAAAATAGTCACCATGAACATAACAATATCCGACAAAGAACTTGCAACCAGTACATATAAGGAATGCTTAGAACACTTCAGTAAGACCAACAATTTGTTTTTTTTGTTTTTTTTCAATTTGTTTTTTTTTAAATGAGAAGAAAACCATCTAAACAGATACTTCACACAAGAAGATAAAAGGGATGGCCAATAACACATGGGGGGAAATTCTCAAACTCCAATAGTTATTGTAGGAAGACAAACTAAAATAAAATAATATTACACACCTGTTAGAATGATAAAAGTTTTGAAAGGCTGTTAACAATAAATGGTGAAAATGTGGAACAGCTAGAAAACTCTCATATACTGCTTATGGGAATGTTAATTGTGTAACCAATTGTAGAAAAAAAGTGCAGCAGTTTCATAGACAATATACTGATCATATGATCCAACAATTCACCCTGGATATTAATTCAAGAGAAATGAGAACATTTGTTCACAAAAGGATTATATTAGGAGTTTCATTCATCATATCACGAACAGGAAACAACCCCTAGTATCTATTCATAGATATCCACTGCAAGCGAAATATGGATAATCATACAATTTATTTAGCAAGAAATATGAGCTCCTGATACCAACAAGAAGGATGAATCTCAAAAACATTCTGATCCATGAGAAATGTCTAAAAAAGACAAATTTGCAAAGCTAGAAAGCAGATCAGGCCACATGTAGGGGCCTGGGCCTGGGCCTGGGCCAGGCGTGGAGCGGGATCAATGACTGCGATGGGTAAGCTTGAGACTCATCAGCGATCTGAGCTCAAAGGGACAGCACTCAGAGAGTTGGAAAGGAAGGGAAATGGAAGCACAGGCAGGGAGTGTGACAGATAAGCAATGTTACATTGTGAGGACTGCAATCAGACATGAACCACAATGTATTGAATGAATTGCGGGATGGAAAATTGCCTTGCTAGGTAAATTTTCAGTTATTCAAAATTTTTTAAAAGGCAATGGCTCCATCTATAATTTGATTATAATGGTAAATGACACAGGTGTACATATTTATCAAAATATATTGAACTGTACAATAAAATACTCTCTATTAAATAAAAGAGAAGGCAAGAAGTCAATGATCTCTCCCTTACCTTTATTTCCTATACGGCACAATAACTATGTCTTATTTAAGTATTTTTTCACTCTATATTACATGGCTATTAAAAATCATTTTACCTGGATAATGACAGCCTCCACAAGTTATTTTGTCTGCATTATTACATCATACACCTTGCATAATATGACCACAGTAGTACTTTAAACTGGAAACCTGTTCACATCGTTTCTGCTTTGAATCTTTCACTAGCTCTACACAATTATTTATCGAATATATTTTTTTGCTTTAAACTTTTCTTTAGAGTAACTGTTTCACCCTAAATTTGGGAAACACTTAAAAAAATAAACAAAATGAAATTACTTGGTTATTCACCATCCAAAGTCCCCTGTGTAACATTATTTCTTCCAATATCTTCTAAATGTGTTTGACTGGGACACACACGTCAAGCATAAATAATACATCATGCATCATGTTAGCGGAATCAGTGTTTTTGTTCTTTAGAATAATTAATTCGACCAGTTCAAGTGAGTATTTCCTCCTCTCTTATTGCACTAGCTAGTACTTCCAGGAAAATATTGAATTGTCTTAGTGAGGGTATGGAAAGTCTTGGTCTTGTTCCAAGCTTAAATGCCAATGCCTTGGGTGTTTCTCCAGTAGGAAAGATGCTTCTTATTCTTTTTGATATTATTCCGTATCAAGTTAATAACACATACCTAACTTTCTAAGTATTTTCATCATAAAAATATATTCCTTTTCTTTTCAGACGTATTTCTGTGTCAAGTGATCACACAGTTTTGTCCTTTTCTCTAATTACTTGAAGGTATTTACTGAAGCAGATTCAATAATAAGACAGTTAAACTTATTAATTAGCTTATCTGGCCTTCATGATCTACACTATATCTTTCCAGATCATACCTTATTCCTTTAATGTTTGTTCAAGGCTATCTAGGCTTTCTCAGTCACATGAATACTTACTTAGGTGGGGCAACAGTTAATATGCTTGACTCCTAGCCAAAAGGTTGAAAGCTGAAGCCCACCTAGAGGCACCGTGAGGAAAGGCCTGGCTATCTACGTCATAAAAACCAGCCACTGAAAACTGTGGAGCACAGCTCTACACTGAACTTACACTGGGTTGCTGTGAGTCAGGATTATACTGACAGCAGTTTTGTTTTTTTTTCAGTCACTACCAGCTTTGTCAATGTAATACCTTTTCTTCTTTCCTGATCTTCTCAAAATCATCCTTCAAAATTCAGCAAATGAAATGATTAAATTTTCTTCAATCTTATTTCAACATCCTCTACCCTATTCCACACATACATAAAATTGGCCACATATCATTGCTATTGGCAGCTTTCCCATACCCCTGCCACAGCTTTTCTTCAGACTGTATTTACTGTATATACTTGAGTATAAGCCAACCCAAATATCCACCAAGGCACCTAATTTTTTTTTTTTTTAATATGGAACGCTTCACGAATTTGCGTGTCATCCTTGCGCAGGGTCCATGCTAATCTTCTCTGTATCGTTCCAATTTTTAGTATATGTGCTGCCGAAGCGAGCACCTAGGCACCTAATTTTACAAAAAGCTGCATTAAAAATGTGCTGAAAAACTCAGCTTATACTCGAGTACAAACGGTATTTGATGCTTCTCCACAGTGATAGCTTAATTTTCTCTCACTGATGGATGTCTGGGTTATTTAGTGTGCTGGCTAGTATGGACATTTGTGCTCAACTCTGAGTGAACAGGTCTTCATCTCTTGAGCACACAGACAAGAATGGAACTCCTGGGTCATAGCATTTTAAGTCCATTAGCTTTTGCAGACATTGCCAAGCATCTTTCAAACCACTATTGCCAGTGTGCACCATACTGTGTGTGTCAGTGTCAGCTGTTTGGTGGATGCATCAGTACTTGGTGCAGTCTTCACCATCTTAGTCGTTTGATGTTTGTGCAGTGGTAGCCTGTTTTAACTTGCAACTGTTGGTAGGTTAACAATGCTAACTAGTCGTTTGAGTTTTCTCGTTTGTAAAGGTATGTGCTTTAAGCACCCCCATCTTTTTTTTTTTGTTTTTAGACTAGTCTTTTTAAAATATTGATTCATACGAGTGGTCTATATGAGGGGGCTTCAAAAAGTTCATGGAAAAGAAGAATAAAGTTTCGCCACAAGCTTTCTGAAGGCCCTGCATACACACAAATACAAACACAAAAAGGTAGCTACATGTACACACACACACACACACACACACACACACACACACACACACACGCGCGCGCCTACGTATCTCAAAACCAAGAATTAACTATCATTCCTGGTCATCTGCCTTGCTTTTTGACTCTCTTAAAGGTGCCTTTGAATAAGCAAAAAAACCCAATCTTGTTTAGCATTCATTAGTACACTATCTTAGATCAAGGGTTGGCAAACTACAGCTCAGGAGTCATATGTGGCTCTTTTGGTGGATACATGTGCCTCTGAAGTCAAATTGAAAATGAAGTAAAACTATCATAGTTTCATTTGAAGAATATTGTTCAAATAATGATTTCTTTGTAAAAATATATTTATGGCTCTCAAGTAATTTTTAAATTGTTGTGAGGGACAGGATTGGCTCTTCCATCTCAAAAGTTTGCCAACCTATGTCTTAGACGATCAAAAATCTGTCCCTTAATAAGTATGGCAAATATTTTTCATACTATTCAAATTTATAACTTTATATATAAAGTTAATTCTGTCCATGAAAGAGATCTGCTTCAGAAATAAGTATACTTTTTCAAGACAAAATATATGCAGGAACATTTTTATTACCACAAATTATTAACAGGGCTGAGCAGTAATATATTCAAGATTGGTATTCACATCAGTATTTTCAGTAATACTGCCGAAGTATTGCTAATAAGAAGACGTTCCAAATACATACCTCTTGTACAAGATCTTGTGCACTGGAGAGAAGAGGAAACGGAGGGCTGGCCTTGTTCATATGTACTGTGACAGCGTTGTGTATCTTAAATGCATTCTGGAAATCTTTAATTTGTACAAGTTGTAAAAGCAGTGAAATATCCTCCTGGCTCTGAGAATCTACCAAAGTATGTTGGATGTGTTTAAGTGAAGAAAACAAGTCTTCCACTTCTAGTAGGAGAAGGACAAGTTATCCAAAAATTAATCTCATCTTCATTAATCATGCTTTTGAAATTAAAATTGCGTTAATCATTAACAATTTAAAATTTTAAAACAAAAAAATCCCAAAGCATGCATATTTGTAAGCGCCACATCATTGTCCTTTCACTAGTTTTTAAAATAAATTCCTTAAAAAGTATACAACAAAAAAATTTAAACAAGTGATCTAATTATAAAACTAAAACATGCTATTGTTTTTTTCCAAAAAAGGTGATGCAGAAAGTAAACTACTTTTTGAAAATACATCTTACATCTTCTGTTATGCAACTGTATATTCTAATTTCCTATATACCAATGGCTTCATAATATTCTATTATATAGCCACATCATAATTTATGTAGCCATTACACTACAGTTAGGTTGCTTTCAATATTTGGCTATTATAGAAATTTTCATTAAAAACATAATGATCATCCTTGCATGTAAATTTGTCAGCAATTCTGGTATTTCCTTACAATCATTCCCTAAAACACATTTTTTAAACAAAAGAATCAGACTTTTTTTTTAAAGATACCTTCCTAGGGAAGTTTTACAAAGTTACATCCCACTAGCAATATTTTTACCAATATTAAATATCACTAATTTTTAAATTCATCTATTTCTTTGATCAGTAGGGGAAACTGAAATTTTTCCATATTTACCTAGTAACTCTTTTGTGGTTAAAAGACCCTAGGAATATGTGAGTCTCTTAAAATTGTATAGAAAACTATGAGTATGTACAAGGATTCAAAAAGTTCATGAGAAAAAAAAAAGAATTTTTTCACATGCTTTTTGAAATGCCCTGGTATGTATGTGTATGTGCTTCTCCTCCCCCCTCCCTCTCCCATGCTTTTTACTATTTACCTATTAATTGTATTTATGGTAGCATTTATTGTAACTCATTGCCATCAGGTCGATTCCAACTCATAGCAACCCTATAAAACAGAGTAGAACTGCTCCTGTGGGTTTCTCAGTTACAGTCTTGGAAACCCACAAGGGGTCGCCGTGAATTAGCATTGACTTAATATTAGGCAGTGAGTTTGGTTTGGTTATTATTCTATTTACGAAAGTGGGTAACAATATGTCAAATTACATAAAACTGAAAAAGTTACAACAGAATTACAAAGAAGGCAAAGAATTTTCTAAGAGTGTAAAGGATTCAATAATAGCCTTACAGCATCTTCCGATTAAGACAGAAAATCATTTAAATATATTAGGGGGGGGGCAAACCAACAAATCTGTTAAGGTAATTGGCTATAATCTTAAAGGAACTGCAGACTTCCTGAATGGTAATAACTCTGTAAATAATAGGATTCCTGTTAAACATTTTAATAAATGTTAAAAGGGGCTCATCCTGGCTTTCAGGGCAAGGATCTTACTCTGAGGGAAGTCAATAAATGACCTTGAGAAAGCTCAGAGGGTAACTATCATCTTTGTTGGTCTGTTTAACCCTCAGGGGAGTTAAAGTTTGTGGGGGGTACAAAACAACAAACTTGGTAAGAGTTAAAAGCAACGGAGGCAAGTGCTATTACACACATACAATCCTGTAACAGTGGTAATTTATGAGGAGATGCTTAGGCAGTCATGGAAGCTGAATAGGTGTGGAGGGAGAGCAGGAGTATGCCCACAAATATATGTATAGATTTGATAAAGGATAACTGTGTATGTGTATTCACCTTTCATGCAAACATGTCCACGAATGTGATGGAGCATACAGGAGGCAGAGTTATAAATACTTCTTAGAAATAGCCAACTCCCTGAAGGTATGAATCTCTAAGCATGGGAGATTGGCCCACTGAGTTATACTCAATTAATGTGGCTCTTGCTGACATAACCCTAATGCAATTCTGGATTTCCTACACCTGTGGCTGTGTTCCAATTTTGGAAGGCATTATCTGCTAACAAGCAGGAATGGGCTGAGACAGTTCTGGCCTCAGAGGAGTGTGTGAACAGGACCACACTCTTGATCTCATGGCTATCTTGGTTACTACTGTTTACAATGGATGTAAGGAATTATATACTATAGCTGAGAGGAGAAAGAAACTGTTTGGGGAGTGACCTGCATGAGAACCCGGCTGATTAAGATTACCAGGAGGCCAATGCCTATTGGAAACAACTTGCCTGAGGCTCCAGGTTATATGTGCACATAAATAAGACACAGTACAGGGGTAGAGAACAAATTATTACATTTGAGTGAAATTTTATTGCACCATGTAACTTCCAAATGGCCTTCTCCTGCATCGGTCTGGTAAGAAAAGTGGGAGAAGATTCTGTAAGATTCATTTGTTAGTAATTATGAACAGGATTCCCCGCAATGCCACCCTTTTGTGTATGAAATGGCCTCACTGAGAAGTGGAAGGTGTGAGCTCATCACCGCCAAGAGCCAGAAGTGAAGCATCCTCTGGTCCAGCATCTAACTAGCTTGCCCCTCCCTGGCTGACCTTTGGACTCTGTACTGAACTACACCCACAACCAGCAACTTTAGACATTTTCAAGAATTCCCACGAGTTCTGTGGGACAGTGTAGTGGTTCACAAAACTCAGACAGGAGGGAATATACTCAAGGGAGAGGTGAGGGAAAGATGGAACAAACTATCATCTTGCAAGAACTGGAATTTGGGGATTTACTCAATATCAACTTCTTTCAAAATCCTCACAACTGGACCAATGAGTAACATGATGATAAATGGAGAAAAAGCTGAAGTTGTCAAAGGTTTAATCTTGCTAGAATCCACAATCAAGGCTCATGGAAGTAGCAGTCAAGAGATCCAAAGATGAGGTGCATTCAACCTGCTGCACAAGACTCTGTTAGAATATTGAAAAGCAAGAATGTTACTTGAGGACTAATATGCGCCTGACCCAAGGCATGGCATTCTCCATGGCATCATATGCATGTGAAAGGTGGACACTGAATAAAGAAGACCAAGAAGAATCAATGTATTTGAATTGTGGTACTGGAAAAGAATATTACAAGTACATGGACAGACAGATCTGTTTGGAAGATGTAGGACCAGAATGCTCCTTAGAGGCAAGTATAGCAAGCTTCACTTTACATACTTTGGACATGTCAGAAGAGACCAATCCCAGAGAAGGTTATCATGCTTGGTAAAGTGGAGGGGCGGTGGGGAAAAAAAGGAAAGTCCTCAGTGAGATGGATTGACTTCGGTTGCAACAATGGGCTCAGGCTAGGAACAATTGTGAGGGTGCCACTGGACCAGGTAGTGTTTCGTTCTCTTGTGCACAGGGTCACTCTGAGTCCAAACCAACTCAATGGCACATAAGGACAACAACATTTCTTGGGACTAGAGTTTGGTATTAATTCTCATAATAGAAATTATTACTACAACCACAACCACAACCACAGTCAAGGGGACAATAAGGTCTATTGGCAGAACATATTTCACAAAACAATGTTCTTTATCCTACTTGTGCAAGCAGTGGCTATGTTGTTAAAAGCTCGTCAGCAGCTATCTAAGGTGCAACCATTAGCTTCTCCCCATCCAGAAGAAAGAATGATGATGAAAACAAAATGACATATGGAAACAATTAGTCCCAGGGACGAATGGACCCTATAAACATCAGTCTCCACAACCTTGAATGCAGAACTAATGGTATCTCCAGCTACCATTACCAGGTGGACAAGGATCATATTAGAAGGTCTTGGGTCACAACTCAAAACATGCGAGAGACTAGGCTTCCTGGTGGGACAGAGGCAGGTGAGACCAGCAAGACTAGGGCCCTTAGTCACTCTTTAGGTCTAGAACGGAATTCACCCTATGGAAGAATAATCAACCATTTAAGATCGAAGAGGCATTTACCCTAGAACAAAGTTAAAAATAAAAACTAAACATTAGGAAAGGAGGAGGAATGGAAACAAAACGCTTGGAGGCAGTGGGATAAACTGATGGTGCACCGAGAAGACTGCAATGGGTTAAGTTGAAAAAGGGTGTGCATGAATTGTAGAGTGTAACCCTAGTGTTCTGCCCTGTAAACTTTTACCTAAACCACAATTAAAAGTTTTTAAGTGCTTCTGAGTAATTTTCCCTATGAATCAAAGGCAGTCATAAGAATAAATAGTGTTTAAATAAAACACTATTTAAAAAGGAAAAAGAAAAAGTGTTCTCATATCTCTCAGCTATAATTTCAGTCCTATGCTACTATAATCTAGTTTTTGAGACATTTACAGTCATACAGACCACTCTGCAAACACTATTTTGTAGCCTGACTTTTATCAATTCCTTCTAGGAATAAATTTGCAGATCAAATAATAACATTTGAAACTGTGGTTGCTATTGCAAACTGCCCTCCAGGTGCACTGGTTCACACTTGTGCCAGCAATAAATGTGAGTGCCTGTTTTCACAAACCCAGAACAAATTCGAGATGATCAACCCCTTAATTGTTGGTGATGTGGTAAAAGGAATAAAAGCAAGTTTTGCCTAGTAATAAGGTTGAACATATTTTCACAGTTAGTCATTTTCCCCCTACTTTCTGTTTATCTTTTGTCTATTTTTCTACTAATGTTTTCTAATTTTTCCCTTGATGACTGAGTGTATGTGTAGTCTTAAGCGTAATACACTGAATATAATTTCACCTTGTTATCAGAATGGTAACTTAATCCACGGTTACTCAGGAGAATCACTAGAGAAAAATAGTGAAAAATATGTATAAAATTCACCTCTCAAAAGCAGAAACTCTAGTGTCTTCTACAAGGATATAGTTAAAGTTATGACAATGCATTGCTGTTGTTAAAATCACTTAGGAGACCTCCCTTCTGACCCAACCTGAATGTGTTCCAGGTGCAAGTATCTCTTACTTGTGCCATGATAAAAATTCCTTCCCTGGCTTCTTAAATATTGATGGTGGTCTTCTCTTTCTTATTCATTTCTACTTTCATCTTTACAGTATTATTATTTTATCCTTACCACTTCATTTCATTAAAAGAAAATCATTTTATTGGGGGCTCGTACAACTCT